CTCAAATTATAGAAGTTAGAAGGCACCACTTTTTAATATTTTATAATCTAAAGCCATCAAAGATTTAAGAAACATGCTGAGCCAATATTTTTTATAATTAGACGGGGTAGGACCTTCCTAACAACAAACCTGGTTAAAGATATTTTTTTTTCAATAATTTTGAAATAATAAATAATTTTTGAAATATCTTTATTTTATCCTTGTTTAAATTTTAAAAAATTTTAAAAATATTACATATGACAATTGGCAGTTTTCTATGTTATATATTTAAAAAAATCAAAAAAGTTCAAAAATAACGATTATGGCAACTGTTACTTTCCTGTGGTACATCTTCACTGAAATTTCAATTTAACATGTTAACAATAACTATTTTTATCCATTTGCTTTAAAAAAATTCAAAAAAGTTAAAAAATAACGTTTATGACTTGTCACCTTCCTACATCTTCACTGAAATTTTTATTTAACATGTTAACAATAACTATGCTTTAAAAAAAATTTTCAAAAATAATGATTATGACAATTGTCACTTTTCTAGGGTACATCTTCATTGAAATTTTATTCATCTTAATAATAAAAATTTTAACCTATTTACGACACAATAAATCAAATAATTTAAAAATAACGATTATTACAATTGTCACTTTTTTGTGTTACTTTACATTAAATCTTCATTTAAATTTTAATATAAACTAGTAAAAAACCCGTCAAAAATGACGGGAAATGAGATTTTTATTCGTTTTTTACGATAGATGTCATGCCAGGTTCAAGCTCACAATATTAGGAAGCATCCAAGATCTTATAATTTTAAAAAAGTTTATCAAGCCCAGCTCAACCCTTGATAATTTGTAAAAGATATTCCCAAGTCAGGTGCAAGCTAATATTAATTTTGAGGTTCCAAGCCCACTCCTACCCATTATAATTTTGAAAATTTTTTCCCCCTTCGGAGATAGTTAAATTTTTAATATCATCACATGAACAGGAAATATCTGATTTACCAATTAGTTTAATATGGAAAAAAACATGTATAAGGGAAACTGGGAAGGCCTGGGCAACCACTTATTAGAGAATCATGACAAATAAAATTAAAATAGCAAAACGATATTTCTCTCAATGTGAGCATTGGTATCCCCTTCTAAAATAGAATCATGAACGACAATGTTAACTCAACCATAAAACGGTCGTAAGTATTGTTTTAAAGGCCACGACAGAACTACTGCATATTTTTCCATTACTAAAGTTGATGAAATTGGCCGTACTGTACATTCAAATTTGAACATTCCCCTAAATATTCATGAAAGTTTCTCAGAGAATCGGATAACGTAATATTTATATTAACTCCTAATGGAATTGAATGATAGTACAGAATTAAATGTTTATATTTGTTAAAAAATAGGCGGAGGCATGGGGATTGTGGTAGTAGTCATAGTTTAATTTGGAGAGGATGAAAATAAAATAAACATAGATATAAAACATAAGATTAAAAAAACAAAATAAACCTCCAGATGAGTTCATCAAGCGTAGTTCTTTTTTATGTTACCAGTAACTCTAGAACGGGTAAGGCGATTGTTTAATTGTCATTATTTTCTTCTTATCTTTTATAATAGATTCATCATGTTTTGTAGCAATGTGAGGGATTAGGGTTAGCCTAGACAAATAAAGAAATCAGGCAAAAATATAAATAAACTATTGTTAAAATTAAACAAACATTAAAATAATGTAAAACCGGTAGATGGGTCAATATTAGATGCATATTTCTAGTAGTTGGAGGGCTATCATCAAATAAATTTTTTGGGGTAATTATCAAGCCTATTATGATATTCTAAATAAAAAAACATGATGAATGTAACGTTATTAAGGTTAATTAATGGTAAGGTAATTAAAAAATAAGATTAAAAAAGGGGGGAGAAAGAAGGTGTAAATTATTATATTATAAAAATAGTAAAAATTAAATTAAAGGAATTGATAAGGTTTGGCTATCATCAAAAAATTTTTTTGGGGGACTTATCAAGCCTATTATTATATTCTAAAAGTTAAAAAATAACATGATGAATGTAATGTTATTAAGATCAAGGTTAATTAATTGCCAGGTAAAAAATAAAAAAAGGGGGGGGGAGGGAAAGAAGGTATAAATTATTATATTATAAAAATTAAATTAAATTAAAGGAATTGATAAGGTTTGGCTATCATCAAAAAAAATTTTGTGGGGACTTATCAAGCCTATTATGATATTCTAAAAGTTAAAAAATAACATGATGAATGTAATGTTATTAAGATTAAGGTTAATTAATTGTAAGGTAAAAAATAAAAAAAAAGGGGGGGGGGAAAGAAGGTATAAATTATTATATTATAAAAATTAAATTAAATTAAAGGAGTTGATAAGGTTTGGCTATCATCAAAAAAAAATTTTGGGGGACTTATCAAGCCTATTATGATATTCTAAAAGTTAAAAAATAACATGATGAATGTAATGTTATCAAGATTAAGGTTAATTAATTGTAAGGTAAAAAATAAAAAAAAAGGGGGGGGGGGGAAAGAAGGTATAAATTATTATATTATAAAAATTAAATTAATTAAAGGAATTGATAAGGTTTGGCTACCATCAAAAAAAATAATTTTTGGGGTACTTATCAAGCCTATTATGATATTCTAAAAGTTAAAAAATAACATGATGAATGTAATGTTATTAAGATTAAGGTTAATTAATTGTAAGGTTATAAAAAAAATATGATTAAAATAGGGGGGAAAAAGAAGGCATAAATTATTATATTATAAAAATAATAAAAATTAAATTAAAGGAATTAATAAGGTTTTGAGAAATAGTGGTTAATAGATACTAGAGATAGAAAGAAAAGAATGAGATAATAAAATTTAGTGATAAATAAATTCATTAAAGGTGGGGAAAAACAATAAAGAAAGAGTTATTTATAAGGATTGGAGACAGTGGCGTAGCTACGGGAGTGGTTTTCGGGTTTGGACCCCTCCCAGAGCAAAATTATATTTCTAGATTAAACGTTCAAAAGACTTAAAGATGACTTTATATTAAATAAATACCATTAATATTAATATTTTTCTGGTTTTGATGTTTGTGTAAGGATATTATATTACTATTGAAATTATTCTGGTTAGTATTATAATAAAGTCATTGAGAATAATCTACTAAATTATAATAACATATTATTGATGCATTTAAAAAATATATTTATTTTATATTATAGAAGATATGGTTATGATTTGTAAGATAAATCCGGCCGAAGGCCAAGCAAAAGGGTGGGGGGCGAAGCCTCCCAGGCTTTTATATGTATGGACCCCCTCTAAAAAAATTCCTAGCTACGCCACTGATTGGAGATTATAAATAAGTTAGGATAAAAATATTTAAATATTTGAATATACTTGAACTTGGCTATCTTCTTTATTATTGGTTATGAAAGAAAAATATGAGCATAAAAAATTGTAATGTAAGTACTGACAAAAATTGTGAGTATGTTCAAAATAAATAAACAAGCTGAGTATCTTGTAGAGATTTCATTAATGTGTAATTGAAAATATGAGATGAAAATTGTTAAGGTAATCTAAAAAATAAAGAAAGGATTAAGTGAAATAAAAAGTTTCATTCATATATACAAAGTAGGGAATATTGTTTTTATCAATTCAAAGACGATTTTTCAAATCTCTTAAAATGTTAGATATGTGTACACCATCAATTCTCGAAATTCCATTCATATGTTTGTAAAAATATATAAATAAAATAAAAAAATCAAAAAAAAAATCGTACCGATAACATGACGTAGAGATGACATGACGTAGAGATGACATGACGTAGAGATGACATGACATAGCGATGACAATGACGTAGTGAGGACATCGGAAAATTATAATATAAATTATTTTTTAATATAATTTTTTTTTTACCCACATATGTCAAAAAAAGTTAAAAAAAATAACGATTATGAAAATTGTCGGTACTTCTTTATTGAATTTTAATTTTAATTTAACATGCTTACTAACCCATTTACTTCAAAAAATAATATCAAAGAAATAATAATTTACTATAACATTATAAAATATGAAAACTTTGAAGATCGTTGATCTAAAATATTTTTAAATAAAAGATCTTCAAAGATAATCTCAAATTTTTTTAAAAAATAAAAGATCTCGATCTTTGAAGATCGTTGCTCCAAATTTTTTAAAAATAAAAGATCTTCAAATTTTACGATCTTCAAATATCTAGATCTTTGAAGATCTTTTTAATTTAAGCAAATGTACAACTCTGGTTATGATCAACGTTGTTCACTAGATGAGAATACTATCCAAGCTTGCCTGCCGAAAGAGTTGGATTCTCATGCAGGATTGTTCTTAAAGACATAAAATATTTTTTCTTATATAAATTTATATCAATCTTCACTATATTTTATATAAATAGACAGTGATGTTATATTTTAATGTACTTATTTTGTTATATTTTTTGTGCTAAATAAAAAGTTTCAAAATTACTTTTATTATTTGGTTAGCTTGGTTAGGTTTGTTATTAAAAAAAAATTTATGATTAAATCAATAATTTTTATATTCACATCACCTAATAAATCCCTAGTTTATAAAAAGAATTTGTTTTTAGTAAAATTTTGAGAGTTTGTTCTTAGCCATGTTTTTAATTCATGATTTTTTTTCCATGTTTATTTAAAACTAAAAATTAAGGGTTTTATAATCTCTATTTTATTAATTTTAATAAGTAATTAGAATTTAAATCAATATATACCAATTTAAACCAATACTAATAGAAATACCAATACAAGAAATAAAAAACATTGATTGTTTAAACCAATACCAATATTTTAAACTTAATACAAATACAATACTTGTTTATTTTTTAATATTGGTTTCCAGCTTCAGTGCTAACTATAAATGAAGGTTTAGCACCATTGTAACATTTATGAGTTAGGCCATCAAATTGTAAAAATGTTGCAAACAGGTTCATCACTTATGGAAAGTAAGTATTTAGAAAAAGTATTAAATGATATTAACGACAAAAATAACACCCAAGATGAAAAAGGTAGTATTAATAAGTTTTGTCTTTTAAATATTTTCTAAGATCTTATTATAAAAAATGTGATTATGGAAATTAAAAGAGATGGTATTGTGTATATTAATAATGATATCATAAGCAGACTTATTGAAAAATTTATTACACTAATAAATAATGGAAAATGCTTGCGAAAATTATGGCCACTATTATCTCAAGATCTAAATAAATGCCTTACAGATGTACATATTTCTCATATTCTTCAAACATATATGAATTGCTTGCACAAAAATATAACAAATAACCAAAATATAAAATTCAAAGTATTAAAAATACTAATACAAATTAAATTAAATAATATTTTTAGGTTAAAATATTTAAAATTATTGGTAAATTTATAATAGAAAATGAAGATACAAATAATTATTTTAATCATCCTAATGCCAGCCATGTAGTTATAACATATTTGGCGAATATATCAGATCTTAAGAATTCTAACAAAATTGAATATAGCAGTTATACAAAAGAATATAAGAAATCTTTTAGCCTTCCTATTTTTAATGACTCAATATCTTCCAAACAATATAACAATTTTAGTTCCAATTCCTTAAACATTATTTTACAGGACATTATTCTCTTAGTAATTAAATCAGAGAACTTCAAAAGTTATATAGCTGCTTAATAACATATATTTAAGTTACCTATTTAGAATATTGTCTCTCATCATACTCTTGTGGAGTTATTAATGTAATCATTATAATTCTTTCAGAATCAACTCACATTACCAAATCCTGCCACTTGAACCTAAAACTTCAATTTTTCAAAAAATGGAAACAAATATTTTTGGAGAAAAATGTGACATCAAAACTAAAGTAAAACCATTCTTCATGACCCAATATGTAACATTTGATTAGTTCTTATAAATCTTACATGGTATTTGTCAAAAATTACCAGATTTTTGTATTCTTACAGTCCTTTACAAAAACCCAAGTAAATGGTATGATTTAAAAGGCTAGGCCAAACTTTTTAATCAATAAACCAATTTATTAAGAGCTTTAATATATTTGGGTAATTCCAAAACAAATCATCATATGATTTGGATATCTACTTTAAAAATGGTTAAAACTTGATAAGAAAGTTAAATAGATTGTATATTTTGTATATATATATCAAAATTATGTTCTAGCTCAAATCTACCCTGAGTTATTAAGCCTTCAAAGTTTGATCAGCTTTTCCCCATCTAACAAAACTCAAAATAGTCAAAATATTTTTGATCTAAAGTATTAAATTGTATATCAGTTTGTAGCCCTTAAAATTCTCCTTAAGAAAATGTAAAAATTATTTTAAAATATTATTTTGAAAAGTGTCTCATTTAAAATTGAAATGAAACTCATGAAATGCATTAATTAAACAAAAGTAATAATGAAAAAATAAGAATTTAATATTGATTTTGTAATTTTATGAATATAAATCAATTATAGAGGGCTCAATGTATTTTTAACCATAAATATTCCTCTTTTTTTTAACATGTTTTTTATGCCCCAGAAAAAAAATATTATAATTTTAGCGCCCTCTATAATTAATTTTTTTATTTTTTCCTAAAATTATTAAAAACTTTTACTTTAATATTTTTATCTAAATATTTAAATATATTGGCAATAAACATATAATGAATTCCATCGAATTAAATGTCCTTTTATAATTGATATTTATATTAAAAAATCCTAAATATAATAAAATTCTTATTTTTATTTAAATATATTCCACTCAGACCCGAGGCACGTAATTATTATTTTTTCAAAAAATTTTTTAATAAAATTATCAAAAGGTATGTTTCTTAAATAGGTTTTCATGTGATTTTGTTGTTCATAAATGATATATATAAGAAAAATTATATAAAGTGTATCATGATACTATGGGAGTTAATCATTACACTATTTTAATTATTTATGAAAATAAAAAAAAACAATTGACCTGGTCTTTTGATCTACTACTATCGGTATATGAAGAATCTTTTCTGTTACGATTAATGATATGAGAATCTGATGTTAAAAATCAATAAACCCAAAAATAAACAAACCCAAAAATAAACAAAAAAATATAATATTACAACACGGCTCCCTTTTTTTAGGAACAAAAACCCGGGGCAAAAATGATACATTTTTTGCATAATTATTTTAAAAAAACAATTAATTACCAAATAATGTAATACAATTACTTACAATGTTTCATCATTAATTGCTAAATCTTCCATTTCATTCTGAATGATTTCCTCTGTCTATCTTATACCATATTACCCGTTTGAACACCCACTGGGCCATCATTACCATTTTGAATACTATTATTTCCCAACCTCAACACTTCAGGTCTCCTTTGTTCCACTCTTGCATTAATCATCTGGCCAATCAATGGCATGACCATTGGATACTTCAGAAAACTGAGGATTGTATACTGATGACGTCGCTTCGACCTCAAACTTTGAGTGAAATGTGGTGAGACCGAATGAATTAGCAGCTGATCAAATGATGGTCGATGGTACCAATGAGAAAACCAAGTTCAAATGTAAAATGTTTTACTTGTGGCGTAAAAGGACATAAGTCTATCTATTGTCCGAGTGCTCGAATTCAATCGACACAGTGGAGGATCAATGAGAGTAGATGACAATCAAATGGACCACCTCGGAGGGTCATGACAGCTGCACGTACGCTATGAGGGACGATCATGATGATGTCAGGAGAAAATATTGGGCAGCAAGTGGATCCCCAGATGATTAATGCAAGAATGGTACAAAGTAGACCTGAAGTGTTGAGGTTGTGAAATAATAGTATTCAAAATGGTAATGATTAAGAAGTGGGTGTTCAAATGGGTAATATAGTGTCAGATAGGAGGACAGAGGAAATTCAGAATGAAAGATATAGCAATTAATGATGAAACATTTTAAAAAACTGTAAATTAATTGTTTTTTTTAATAATTATGCGAATAAAAATATATATGTAAAAAAAATATATATTTTTTTTTAAAAACATTATATAACGATCAATTTCAACAACATTATACATGAAAAATCAATAAACCCAAAAATAAACTTAAAAGAATATAATATTACAACATTTTCTTCCCTAGAAGTCAGGTTAGATATTGCAAACCACTGCTCTGCTTTTAGGTTTACTCTCGCCATCAACTCTGCTAATAATCCAATATTATCATGAATTAAAAATATTCCGCCAATTCATTTAAACTGATAATAATCCATCATATCATTTTTAAGATGGGCCGCCTCGCTTTTGTCTTTTTTTATACTCTAGCAACACTGCTGCCTCCAAATAAATCAACGAAGAGATTTAAAAACTTGCCTATTGTTTTTTTATATATATTTTTAAGTGAGTAATTTTGACATTACTCTATCTACATTATCAGCTCCAGCTATATTTATCATATTTCAAGATACAGACGATTTCACCATAATATGACTCTTCATTTTGACCATCGCCGACAAAATTAGAGGTCTGGTATACTGACTGGCCTATTATCGAACCATTTGGTGATGCAGATATCACTGTCTGAACATTACAACAATTAAACCGCTTCCCGTCGATGTACCTTTAACAGACCAGGTCCTGACGGTTTTTCAAGCATTCTATTGTTAACTATTAAAATATCTACCCAAATATATAATGTAAGTATTAAATGGAAGCGTATCACATGATCTTAAAGCTATTCTTAATTTCCAGCATAGATATTTTATCGGGAGATTATCTAATTTACATATGTAACAGTTAATGAAAATAAAAAATATACAAAAGAAAAACTTAACTTAAAATTAAAGTTAATTCGAAAAAATAAGGGTGCAAAAAGCCAAAAATCATTAATTTTTTTAAAAAATTATTTTATAACGAAAATTAACCTTTTAACAACCTTTTAATAAAAAATAAACGTCGTTAAAAAATAATGGAGAACAAGTTCAAGATGAAAATTTTTTTTTGAAAGTAGCGAAATTTTGGAAAATCTGAATCAAAACTATGATAAGCCATTGGACGGAATTATAGAAATCTGATGGACGAAATTGACGAATGACAGGAGATTTTAGGATGATTACGATCGGGCAGCTAACTATCGACAGATGACGAATCCAACTTACAAGCAGAACAATTCAGCAATGTACAAGAAAAAAAAAGGATGGGAACTTTAAAAAAATTTTTTTGACAAAGGTTTTTATTTTATTAAAAGGGTTTAATTTTCGTTTTAAAAAAAAAAGGTTTTAAATGTTATTCTTTTTAAGTTAAAAAAAAATTTTTTTACACCGAAAAGGTCATTTTATATTAATTTTTAGTTAAGTTTTTTTTTCTTTCTTTTTTATATTGTTTATTTTCGTTAACTGTTACACATGTAAATTACTAGTGTTAAAAAAAAGCCTGAATTGGGGTCGATTTTTCGAAACGGCTTCTCGACTTTCTAAGATCTTAGCTAAAGTAATCTTACTTAAGCATCGGGATTTGGAAAGTAGATTCTCCAAGCATTTCTGCCAGCTATGCGCAAAATCTTTAGGATTACATAATGTTATTTTGAATCTTAATCGGCCCCCGTTAATTACTTTATTATAAAAATGTGTATATAAAGTCGACAGAGATACACAAATGATTTTGAAAATAAACTTTTAAAAATAAAATAAAAATTACTCGAAAATTTTGTCCGATAGATTTCCTTGCCTTTCATAAATATTAATTCTTAACAACATTATCGCGCTCTGACATATCCGCGAATTCTAGGAAATAAAATGTAATCAATCTTGTAATTAAATATAAATTCTATAGTATTTCTCCAACGAGGGAAACAAAAATGTCAGAGGAATAGAATCTTCGCCATCGGATTTTGAATCTCTCGCCGAAAATTTACTTATCCTTCCTAATATTGACCGCGAAGTGACATGTTTGGATACTTTAATTAACGTTTGATTTTTAAAATAAATAAAAAATGTGAATAAAGTTAATTTACCCAATCATAGCGTAATTTATTAATTATTTAAGTTAAAAAATTTTTTTTTAAAAATAATTATATCTAACTATGAAGGTTCAAGATTCTGGATACGCTTAAGCTACATTAAAAAATTTTATTTGCATAATGTATATACAATCTATTTAAACCTTCGTGTTATGTAAGGTTTCATCCATTTTAATAATCGCATTCAAGGAATTACGCACTTACAAACCTATCATTTTAAAAAAAAATTTCTTTACTAACCCCCCTCCCCTCTTCCATTTTTCTATCTTCTTACCAAAAAAAGTAAGCCCGGGAAACTTATACAGTACACAGCTGATGAGTCTATATTTTTTGACGCGTATTCCTCCAGGATAACCGAGACAATGATCGAATACTTGACAGAGCCGAATTACCGAAAAGTTTTTGTCAAGATATTCGCATCGTTAACGCCCTCATTCATGAAGCAGATCGCGTTACATTCTTGCGGAAATTTTGTGCTCCAAAAATTTCTGGGCTATATAGCCAACGATTCTGGTCTGGTCAATGAGAAAGTAATATTTTTAACCTAAAAACTTAAAATAAAAAAATAAAGAAAAGAACAGATGCGAAGAAAGAAATAAAAAAAATGGTAAATAAGAAAAAGAAAGATTAAAAAAAAGAAAAAAAAATTTACTCGAGTTACATTTTGGATTTTTTTTTTTGAAATCCAGAAATTCAGCAAAATATACCGAACTCTTGCCGAGTGCTCAGGTGACATTTACAATCATGGTTACTTTGGAATTTTTACCGCGATGGCTAAAGCCTGCATTACCCGCCCTAAATTTCAAGAAACCTTTTTGGAGGTTTATACATTTGATTAAGCATCTTCTTCCATGAAATTTATGTTTCGGTTGATATATTTTAATAAGTATCGCTCATTTATTTAAATGTTCTAATATGCCCATTAATAATCCCCAGAAGACCTGAACCCCATTTTTATTATATATACTAATTAACCCTATAGCCTTATCTCTGGTTTAATTTAACTCTAACCTGTAGTATCTTCTATAACCTCCAATTCCCAGCCCTTATTTCAGTTACGTATTTTCATTTTAACTATATTCCATCCATATCATAAAAAAAAATTCTTTCAAGATCAACATTCCTTGAGTTTGAGTTTAGGAGATGTTTTTTTTAAAACTTATTTATACTGAAAAAAAAACCATATATATATATATTTAAGGATCTGGATAAGTTAATTCGTGTTCATTCTTTCAAAACGACTCCGCCTGTTAGGGTAGATTTGTTGACTCGAATAATGTTTTTGGGGAATGGTAAAATGGATTACGATGCCTTGATCACTGCCAAACCAAATGACATTTCATTTAAGGTTAAATAAAAGCTGTTATTTAATATGCGTATAAGTCCTATATAGTCGCATAGTGTTGTAAAACCCGTTCTGTTTTTGATAGATTCTTAAAAACGGTCTTGTTAAGATTTTACAAAAAAATGATATTACGTAAAACCCGGAAAATTTTGCTCACAGGTGTCAGAAAGGTTTTGGACCTTTCTAATTATTAAATTTCGAGGCTTCGATAAAATTATTTTGGCTATAAACTTATTCGGGCCTTTTAACAATACTATATATACCATAATATTTAATGTTATAAAATTTATCTATTCTTTCCCATATGCCTATACCTTTGTTGATAAATAATAGGCCAATACTTATAAATAGTTTGTATAAAATATTTTTTCTTTTTAAATATAATAATGATAATATTTTATTTATTATATATTTTTGCCTTTTTTTTTTAAATTTAGAATTTTATAAAAGTAAATTTTTTTTTATTTAAAATATTATAAATTTAACTAATATAAACCTTTAAATATAAATACGTTATATAAACGTGGTTGATACAACAGAGCTACTCTAGATTTTCCTCAAAAATCCATCAAACTGGATAGTTAATTAGGGGGAGGGGGCGAAAATTAGGAACCCTTCACACGTTTGTTGGCAAGCCGGTACGTACTTATACGCATCACAGTCCCGAGAACTGTTGTTTAAACGTCTATAGGCTAATAACAAAAAGAGTTGGGCAAAACCGAAGCCTATACCCGAGAACTGCAAAAGTAATTTAATTACTCTCAGGGGTGGGTGGTGACAGATTATAAGTATAATATCTCAATTGATGAATTTCGAATTATACTCGTAAAAAAAATAGGATCTAAATGTAAATAATATTTAATATAATTTCCTATAGCATATTTGGGAATGTTTTGTAAATACACTTCTTTTTTTTTAAAAAAAAGAACACCACCAATAATACTTATGAGATGACCAATTTATTCCTAAATTATTTTTGAAGAATTAAGTAATAGTATATAAAATATCATATAAATATGAAAGAAAAAAAATAAGGTTTAATATTGACAACACAATTACAATGCCAAAAACATGATGACTCAAAATAAAATTCGATTTAACTGGAAATGTATTATAGCATCCGTAAGGGTATTTACCCTATAAATTTCAGCTAATTTCAGCCACATATATTTTTAGTATTTGTTTTTTTTTAAAAATTTATATGAAAAAATCCATACAAAAATTAATTAATAAATTAGAACCAGTTTTCTAAAGTTTATGTGGCAAAATTGTTTGAGATTTACATGTTTGGTGGGTACTCTATACAAGCCTAAAATCGCCTTTAGTAAATGATTCATAAATTGAGAGATTCCGAATCTCCACGGATTTCATATCCCAATACGACATATTATATTTCTCTTAATTCTTTCCGAAAACAAAATATATATGATATTATATTAATATGATTTCTTGTTTCTTCAAAAAAAAACTACGATAAATTTCTAATAAAAAATATTCACCCCTTTATAATAATAAATCACGTCTCGTGAAAAATTGTACCATTTTAAAAGTATGTTTTTTAAAATTACTTTTTTATGAAAACCATATATAATTACCGTGTTGGGAAATGCTCACTTTTTACGGTAAGTGAAAAATTAGTCTTAAGCCCAAAAGTCTTTATGTTTATTGTTTTTGTGGTCTTAAGTATGTGTTAAAATCTAATATGTTATAAGGGGCTGTTGTTGTATAGGGGGTTATGCTACTAAAAAAATTTTTTTACATTATCTCATCTGTTAAATTTGACCAAATGCTTGGAAGGTTATTTATTTTTTTTTAAAAAATGGGTATATTTAATTTAGTGTTGTTAAACGGCCTCGTTTTTGAGCCTATTTTTTTTAAAAACAGCTGACTCAATGTTTTAGACAGAAAAATATTGTGTAAACCTCGAGATTTCGATAATATATGACTCAGACCTTCGTTCCTTCTGTAAGCAAAATCTTCAGGCTTGGGTAATATTTTTTCTGGATGGAGTTAGTCGACTTCTAAAAATCGGCTCAAAACGAGCCTTTCAAATACACTAGTATTTACCGCCTTTGAGAATCTAATTTTAACGATAGAAAAAATAAGGAATTATATTGTTTGGGTACTAACTATAACTTCTTAAAAATATAATAAAAAGAAAGAAAAATCTCCCACTTCTTATCATGGTTCGAGTTTGCTTCAAATCGTATTGGGACAATTTTCGGATCACGTGATAGACACTATTTTGCTGGTGCCATTTTTGGAGGTTTTGCACGAGGCCTCGTCTTTAATCTGGTATCTTTGCAATGACGAGAAGGGTAGCAGAGTCGTGGAAGCCATTTTGAGATGCGGGGTTTTATCGCGGGACCAAAAAAGATGGCAGCTATTAGTGGAAAAGTCGATTTTGGTCAGTTTTTTTTTATTTAAAAAATAAAAAAATAATATTTGTTTTGTCTGCGTATCGAAACCTTTTTTTTTTGAAATCGATTGCTTTTGACTCCCGCGCTAACTGATATCACGTGATCCAATCTATATATCATAACATTGTGGGGTAAAAAAAAATAGGATTTCTATAGGGAACATATAAATTAAACTTAAAATATAACATAGGGGTTTTTAACCATACACCCCTCTTTTGAGGACCCTAAAAATATTGTCTAGCATATATTTTCATTTGTTTATACTATATGTCCTCTTATCTAAGGGACTTCCGTAAAGGAAGATAATTTAAACCACCCATTCGCCTGATTGGCGTGTTTGACAAAAAAAAATGAATCTAGTTGAGATTCAAAAAAAAAGAAGTAAGAATTAAATCTCTAAATTTGAGTGGGGGCAAGGAATAATAAACTTCCTGCTACTTCGCCCCTCTAACTATATTAATACGATGTCTACTATTGGTAAACCAATAAAGGCTACTTACGGAAGCATCGACAACCAAAAGGCTAACCGGGTTTTCGAGTACTCATGATGCACTTGCGGACCCCGCATAATAATTTATAAATGTGGTATATATATATAAGCCGCCTAGCGACATTTTATCACACGACACTTTATCATGCGACACTTTATCACGACGACATTTTATCAGACACATTATCACGACGACACTTTATCACTCAGTCATTTGATATCGCGACACTTTATCACGCGACACTTTATCATGATATACTTAAAACTTAATTTAATATATTTGAAAAAATAAAATTTTGATAATATCTCATTTTTTGACTTTTCCGTCTAAATTTCAATATTTAAAAAATTTAAATTAATTTTTTTTGTATTTTTTTATTGAGAAAAACTCATATTTTAATTTACATAGATATAATTTTTTTTAACTTAATTATCATCTTATATAGGTAAACAGGAGACATAAGCAATAATTTTCTATTTATACTTTTTATTAATAAGTAACTATAAATCAATAAAACACCACACTTAAATTAATGTGTTATCTATTGATATTTTTTAAGCTAATCGTTTTTTCACAAAGATTTATAATTTTTACAAATTAAGGTTTTGTATTTACCCATAAATATAATAATATTTTTTTTTCTATATATACCTCAAAATTTTCTATATTATTATATATTAAAGAATATTTTTTTTATTAATTATAATGTTTGAATTAGGATTTACATCGAAAAATAAACCTACCCTAAAAAATATATTTATGTAAATTAAAATATGAGTTTTTCTCAATAAAAAAAATTAATTTAAATTTTTTAAATATTGGAATTTAGACGGAAAAGTCAAAAAATGAGATATTATCAAAATTTAATTTTTTCAAATATATTAAATTAAGTTTTAAGTATATCATGATAAAGTGTGGCGTTAACAAAAAAAAATTAATTTAAATTTTTTAAATATTGAAATTTAGACGGAAAAGTCAAAAAATGAGATATTATCAAAATTTTATTTTTTCAAATATATTAAATTAAGTTTTAAGTATATCATGATAAAGTGTCGCGTTAACATAAAAAATTAATTTAAATTTTTTAAATATTGGAATTTAGACGGAAAAGTCAAAAAATGAGATATTATCAAAATTTAATTTTTTCAAATATATTAAATTAAGTTTTAAGTATATCATGATGAAAGTCAAAAAATGAGATATTATCAAAATTTAATCAATTATATTAAATTAAGATAAGCATATGTTCTAGAAATTGTTAAGAAAGTGAGTTTTACTCGTATTTTCTTCTTATAAATAAAATTCCGAAGGACTTTGATTTTGCCGTTATCGTGATTCCAGATAGTGAATTAAGAACCATTTCGTTCACAAATTCTTGCGTATAGTTTTTTTTTATTCCAAGATGAATCTACACATACAATAACTAATTGATAGCGTTGTTAAACGGCTCGTTTTGAGCCGATTTTTAAAAAACGGCTAACTCACTATTTCATCTAGAATAATATAACTCAAACCTGATTTTGCTTGTAGTCAAGGTAAGGACATCTATTGGCGAAATCTCAAGGCGTAGGCTATATTTTTCAGGCTAAAATATTGAGTTAGTCGTTCTTAAAAATCGCCGCAAAACGAGGCGTTTTAACAACACTACAAGATATAAATTTAAGCGTCGTTCATAAGTTTCAGGATTAAATTGTCTAATTTCAAAAAAAAAAAATTTGCTGAAATTCTGGATTTTATTTCTAGACTTCCTCCTTATAAGGGCATATAACATGTTTTATTTTTGCTCTCTGACCAAAAAAAAAAATTCCGATAAATTGGAATAGTTTCAAAATTGGGTGCAAAATTTTAGACACGTGACTCGAGTCGCTCAAACTAGGAAAGGATAGTTTGTAGAATATTTCCTGAATATTAAGTAGTTTGCCCGATTCGATTTCGTAAACCATTTCTTCATTGCAAAATTGATAGTTAATTTGTATTGAATTGCGCCAAAAAACTTTCTATCGGTTTAAAATATTTCAATGATATTCCCCGGGCAAACAGGCCACCCAATTGATCTTCTCCATCTCAGATTTCGTTCCTTTTTTTTTCGTGCTAACGGTAGGAAAAAAATATTTGGGATTCACGATCATATGGCAAATCAAAGGAATCAATAATTTGGCCGAGTTTATCGAAACCGTTATCCTCCACCGCAACATAATTTTTAAAAATTCATTTTTTTTATGACAAGTTTTCTTTTAGAAGAAAAAAAAATTGACGTTACTTTATAATGTATTTTTTAAATAGTTAATTTGGTAATGAACTGCCGAGCCTAAATTTGCAAAATGCATACACAAGGCCTCATAGATATTTTCTAAAGTGCCATGACAGTACGAAGACTGCTACCAAATTAAAAATCTTTAATTTACTTTCATATTTAAAATTACCATTTCTTTCATTTTGAGCTAATACTTCTGGAAACCTTAATAAAATAATCTATAAACTTAATATATTGGCGATACGCTATTTTTATTTTTGTGGTTTCGCTCGTCGACTTATTTTATTTTTTATATTTTATCATTATGTATGTGAATGCGCAATTAATGTTCGTTTTAATAGACGTGCCAACCATAAAAGGGCGCTACAGCTGATTCCTAGGTGTGGGCCCTTTAAACGCTTAATGAATGAATCGCCATCATTGCCGTAATGTGACTACATATATATATAATTAAATAACATCCATTTTTATAAATGATGCGATATTTAACCAGTGACATCAATACTAACCTGGACACGACTGACGATTTACGTGCTCTTACATAAGTCAGCTTTGAGAGTCATTTCATTTAATGCCTTTCTACGACAAACTCAAAAAATTTTAAAATACATTTCGATGAATAATTCGGTAGTCTTCTAGATATTATATGAGTTATTGGTTTGCTACATTTTATTTATAAAGCCACACATATTCGAAATATGCACCGACAAATACGGAAGCAGAATATTCGACACCGTGTGGGATGCCCTTTCGGCTTTTCCCAAATATCGCGAAACGCTAGTTAAACTCTTATCGACTAGAAAGAGCGCGTTACAAAGTATGGATCATTTTTTTTCTTCTTTTTCTTATTTACACAATTAACGTTTCATTTTATTTATTTATTTTTTTTATATCATCGTTGCCCTAATTTTTCTAAATTAAGTCACGAATTTTCGTAATTAACATCATTAGAAGTAGTGAGTGTCTTTAAGTTGGATATCTAAAATTGGTAACTCGGAATCATATGTTATCGGTACAATATTTTAAATGAACCACGTATGACTAGCTTAGGATTTCGTTTTTGGAATTCTTGGACATACGAATAAATTAGTTTTCACCCTAATTCATTACTAGTTTTAGTTCAAGGTAAGACGAAAAGTATTTAAACGTTGCGGTAAAAATGCTAATTAATATTTATATTGCTCGTTCACTGCATCCTTTCTTACTAGTTTTCCATGAGTGACAAAGATGAGACAATGATAACTCTTTTTCTTTAAAATAAAAGTGACTTTCAGTGCTTTCTGTTGTCAAATAATCTTACTTTAACCAATATCCAAAATGGCGGTTTGGTCAAGCATTATAAGCCGTAAATAAAATTTGACTTGAACCTCTTCATCTAACCTCATCTCTTAAAGATTGAGAATATGTTGGCTAAATCGTTATGGAGTTGGTCCAAAGTTGGACTATTTAAACAACACCACATCCCTTTCATCCTAAATAAGCGTAATAAAAGGCACTACGCCTTTGAAGAAGAAAAAAAACTATAGTCGGTCTAGAATTGGAGTGCTCCACTCGACATTTTCAAAATTTTTGAGTTAGAAGTGGTTAATATAACTTATTTATTCCTAATATATATAAAATAAAAAACTAGGTTAAAAAAAATATTAATTATTGCCGATGTTTATTGCCAAAATTGAGCCATAACTTTTTCCTATATTTTATTTTAAACTTTAATGTTGATTTTCTCGTTTTAAAAACATTAGCGCAAGTGGAGCATTCCAATTCTATACCGACTATATATTATCTTTAGCTATTTATATTTGAATTGATTTGGAACTAATGGGATTATGATCCCTTTAATGAGTTACAAAGAATCGCAATCTAATTTCGAATAGAGAGGATCGAGACGGCGAAGTTCTTATTTATTATTCTAACATTATCTCATTTCAGATAATTTTTTCGGGAATTTAATATGGCGAAAATACGGCATGTTTTCCTATTCCACCGATGCTCGAAAATGGATGAATGAATATGGAAACCCGGATAAAAAGGCTAAAAGAACACGTCTCGACGAACTTTAAAGTAAAACCCGTTATTTTTTCTATTTAATTTGTTTTTTATTGCCCCCCCCCCTACCTTATTTAAATTTGATCAATGAAAAATGTGGGAATAATCAAACTTTATTTGTAATGGTATTACGACAGCTAATTATAATAGCATATATGTTAGCGTCAATTAGTGTTGTTAAACGGCAATTCAATATTATAGCCAAAAAATATTGCCTAAACTTCTCTAATAGATATGTAAATCTTTGTGCTATCTATGACCAAAATCTTCAGTCTTGGATAATATTTTTCTGGCCAAAATGTTGAGTTAGCCATTTTTAAAAATTCGGCTAACATCGAGCCGTTTAACAACACTAGCGACAATGTGTTTTTGTTTCAACCTTAAATCATTTTTAGAGCTCATTTTTTTAAATAAAATTAAAAATCTGATATTACCGTAAAATGTATTCCAGCATGCTAGAATATTTATCCTATGAATTGTATATTTTTGCCGTTAACCTTCTCAAGTCATTTATGATTTAATATAAGAAATATATGGAAAACCGAATATAAATCATATTAAGTATCAAAAGTTCATTTCGAAATTGTCTGAAATTTATAGGATAAGGGAATTCCAATCATTGTAGAATGCATTTCCGGTAAAATCAAATTTTTAGATTTAAAAAAAAACGCGTTTAACACATTGTCGGGAAACGCATTGAACACTAACATATATATATAAGTAATATAAGGTATTTGGCTGCTATAAAAACGAAGGTTAATTGTAAAATAGAATCGTAGTATAAATAATGTGTAATAACTACAGTTAACAATATGATATAATGTCCTAAAGGTTTAACATTTATAATAATTACTGCAGTAACCTGGAAACCAATTAAACAAATTGGACATGTTTTTGTTTTGCTTCTAAAAAAATAATTTATACCATTTCCTTTATTTCAAAAAAAAAAAATAATATCATCAATAACACAATTACAATGATTTTGTTGTATTTTTACCCTATTTTCGGGGTTGGGTTTGTTTTTAACTTTCACTTTTTTATGTTATCTGTAATCTTTTGGCTGAAAGTAGCTACAAAAATTCTCGCCGAATTTGTGAATGATGAATGTTAATTTAAACTAAATTGCCTATTAAATTCTTGGTATTGCACTTTGGACAGGCAAATTAACGGGATATAATGGAACTGTTCAACAAAAAAAATTTTTTTTTCCTATTTTATAATAGCCGAATTGTACAATAAAGTTTTATATTCCTAGAGGAATACTGTCGCAGCTTTTTTTAAGGGCCGATCCCGATTTTCCATGTATATCATTAGGGCGGGAAAAATACGTCTAAATTAAGAAATAAAATTAATATAACCAATATAGATAAATGTATATAAAACTCTTATCCGCTAGTTGCGATATAATCGATCGGTCTTGGTTATCAGCTTTGTTTATGTATTTGTTGGAATAATGCAAATAAAGGATGATTTCCAAATTGTATTTTAACATTTGTTTCGACAATTTTTAGAAAAAAAATATATAGCATACTGAAGAATTAATTTTTCTAGTGGATATAGAAATACTACAATACTTCCTACGACAAATTGTTATAAAATATTTATGATAAATTTTTTTTTTAGGTGAAGGAAAAATTGCGAAGCATGAAAAAATAGGACCGCACTCAAGAAAAGGGAAGAGATCAAAATACAAGGAACAATCAAAATTGAAAATTAAATATTTTTTTTTTGAAAATAATTATCTGTAATAAAAATGTACCTAAAAAAATAAATAATTTATGAATTTTTTTTTGTGTTTCGCGATTATATCTTTATATATAAGCCTGGTCTGAGATTGAGGATTGTGAGAATTACAAAAAATAATTATATTGTCAAAGTTATTGCTAAATATTTATAGATGACATAGACAGGGGCCTTATCTAAAGATAATTTATCTACAGATGGCCAACATCTTAGGGTCAATTATAGTTATGTTACGAAGCTTATTTTTGGAGAAAATTTTGGCGCACCTTTTTTAGATATCAAGTTTGAAAATGTTTATCGTTAATAAAATAATCAAATAAAAATTTATTTAGAACAAGATTTTTATGATAAATAAATATTTTATTATATTTAACCTGTTAAAAATTATTTATTTAAATTGATATATCAAAAAAAAAAAATCCCAATTAAATAATATAATGGTTAAATATCTTATAAAATGATGAATCTAGCGAAGGTATAAGGAGAGAGAGAGAGGTTAAGGTAGTGGATATTATTGATCTTCTGATATTTTTATATATTTGGAAATTTTATGTTGTTCATTTGGGACAAGTAGGTTTGGTTTAAAGCTAATGGATATAACAATAACATTATGTCATTGGGATATATATACGATAATAGTCCTAAACCTGAAATTGTCCCCGTTTTCATTGTATCAGAAGTGAAGAGAGATTAGTCTGTTGGGAGCATGCTAGATAATAAAGATTCAACGCAGCATGTTACAGCTGTCATGTCCCAATCCTCCTGTCTATTGGATTTGGGCGATGCATAATCAACGAGGAAGAGAGCATTATCTAGGGAAAAGTCATTTGTGATGTATGGAATGTGATTATGAGTTCTGCTCGAAATAAAGGCAGTGAAGGCAAGATTTAATCTCTAGATCACCACTTTTGGTGGACAATGAAGCTTGAGTCCATGATGTTTCATTGAATTTTAGATAAAATATTTTCGTTTACTTCCTTTTTCATAAAAACTGAGAGGAAAATATATTTAATAATAGCATATAGTATGCACCCAAATGTTTTTTCAATGCAATTCTTTTTGAATTTAAATTTGTTTCTTTTATTTAAAATTGACACAAAATTATTTTGTATAGTAAAGAGTTTATAACAAAATGCTGAAATTAATTTTAATATAGCTAGTTTATTTTCTAACTAATTCATAAAAATTTTCCTACACTGAATGTTATATCTTGTTTATATAATATGTCAATTTTTTTAATATAGCCATTTATTTCAATACGAGTGGATTTAAGCTAACATAAATTATTACCATCGATAAAGATAATTTATTAGATGAAGCCTTACGTTGTTGGAATAATAATGTCTTACTAAACACAGCCTAGCCAGATTCAACGAAACAAAAAGATTGGGATCAAGGATTGGTATCTCGTTCCTTAGCTTACCTCAACTTGAGCGATGATCACTAATATAAATCCCTCTTATGATCTCTTAATTTCAACATTCTGGCCAAGAATGGTTAGATTCATATCCCAGCATTTTAAATAACCAGCTAATAGATAACGCGCTTTTCGTTACGCAATCAATTTACGCTTGGGCGTACCATTCCTAAACCATTATATTTGCATTAAAATGAAATCAATCGGCAGACGCGTATAGGAGACACTCTCTCCACTGTAAATTTATATCAAAAATCAGCCGACATGATAAAATAAATGCTTAAATATAGCCAATTTTTCCTCTATTTTAAAACTACATCCTTTTTAGATAAAAAACGCCCTGACGACAAAACCGTCTTACCTTTTTTCATGGGAAAGCCTTTAATGTGGAATTTTACGTGCAATGATCCCATGGCTCCATCTAATAATTCCCATGATCCCCTTAACAGAGCCGAATCTCTAAAAAATAGAAAATACTCACACTTAATGTGTGATAACCATTTTATCCAATCGCAGCTACATCAACCTGCTCGTTTGGACAAGCGGCTTTAGATCTATTCAAAATAATATCCAAATCAATAAAAAAAATCATACCTTTCTCCATTTTACAAACTCAAGCAAAAATCGCCGTATCTATAATTAGATCTAATCAAATATTTAAAACATCATGGCCCGACCTCGCCATTTGAAATTTTTTTTTCTTACTTTTTATAAAAATATACATTTGTATTTTTTTTTAACATAAACTGATATATGACATATTTTATTATATTCTCTATATTATATTGTTAATTTTTAAATAATAATATTTTATTATATTTGTATATGAATTTTAATAAAAAATTGAAAAAATACTTGCCATATTCTGGGCAATAGTAAATATAACAATTTTGGCAATACTAGAAATGTTGTGAATAAATATATATCAAAACGTCAACAAAGTAGTGTTGTTAAAAATATAGATATGGGGCTACTTTCAAAAACGTTCCGATTAAAATTTTACCCTAAATAATATATACATGTTTTAAAATGTTAGTAATAACTAGATTTTTAAAAAGAAGGATTATAATAGACTTTTGATGCAATTTGGTCCATGTCCTGCTCAATATATGTTATTGATTGGTTCTACTTGAAATTGTAGATACTTTAATCTTTATTCGTATAATTCTCATTAAACATACTTTGATCTTATTAAAATAAATTTGTTTCTTAATTAATTCTTACGTTTTGTCGTCTACTCAAAGATTTCAATTTAGTTAACGCTTTTTTTTAATTGAAACAGGATCTATATATATATATATATCATGCTAATACAACATTGAAATTTAAACTTCATAATTTATATATATAACTTTCACTGGCGTAGCCAAGGGGATGGGTTAATAGAAATACCTCCTCTTAGTAAATTTGTCTGTTCGCATAAATAACATTTAGGCTAATAACCTCCCCTTCCTCTCATTATAAAATATATGATGATAAACTAGAATTTGTAAGAAAAATATGTAAAAGTCCATAATTTTTTTAAATGCATTTATATTTATAAAAAAGGTAATAACCAAATATTTTTATAAAAATATAATATCTCAAAAGGCATACATTAGTGAACCTAAAGACTTCCATCATAATCATTTTAAAATATCTCAACTAATAATGACCCCCCCCCCACCCCCCTAGCAAAATCCTCTATTGCTATCATTTCATTTGTATTGTATAAAAATTTATTCCTTATGAAAGCATATTTTAAAAAATAATAACTTGTTGCATCTTAACATATTTATTTACTTAAAATAAAAAGAATAACTAAAGTAATTTTCATAAAAAATGGATCTCATGAGGACAAAAGATAGTTTGTAAGGGTTATCTGGACCCTGGTGTTACACAAATTTTAGACTGTGTATTTCTGATATGTAAATTAACTGAAGAGATGATTATTATTCTTTCTGCTGGATAAAATGTTCGAATATCTTACCCAAAATAAACCTGTCTGTGATTATCTATTCGTAACAATAATAACTCTCATCTCAATAAATTAATAATCAAGCAACTATTTCACAAAGTTTTAGTAAAAATTATTTATATTTTTGTATTTTTATCGGTAAAGACTCTTTAAAAATGACATCACAAGTTATGGAGGTATAAATTACTCTGTTAAGTAAATTTTACACAAGCACAAGAGGTTATCAATTTTTATCTACTTATAGAAAGTCAGAATAATAATAGTTTTAATAAATTCTATTTGTACCTGTTATTTTTTTTAAATATTTTAAATTAATTTCTCACATTGGCATAAGAATATGGAAGAAAGAGTAGTCCATAGCTCCGTGAGGTTGACGGATGAGGATCAATTCTATGCCAATATTTCGAGTCCTTATAGATCTTCAACACGACATAAGCGGAATTACAAGTTAATGAGTTATGAGCAAAATAAGGAAAGTGTGAAATTTTGAAACTAGCTGAACGATCTAAGGATCAATTAGCGAAACCTATACCATTATATAGCCCGTTAATTGATCCTCTATCCGGATACCAGCGGAATGAACCGTTTGTGAGTTATAGGAAAAATAGAATGTTTTGGCATTTGCCAAAATTTAAAATTCGAGCAATCATTTTTATAGTTAAAGCCAATATTTAGTGCCTTAATTGATCTTCCGTATTCCTCAAACGGAATATCAAAAAATTAAAGGAAAGTGAGTTATCAACAATAAATATATCACGGTCAAATTTAGACCTGACAAATTATGGATGCATTAAAGATGAAACTTATATCATTTTTTTTAGTGCTCCGTTTATAACAAGTGCTTAAAAGGTTTAATAGCCGCAATTAAAATGTAAAAGTTTATAAAATAGAGCAGCAAACATCCTATTATTTTAGCCATTATTTAGTAATTGTAAATTTTTTTTTAGGAGCTTAATAAATGTTTCAAGCTCAAATTTTTACCTCAGATATGAATGCACTGCCCTATTAAATTTTTTCGATTTGCGAGGCCAATAATAAAGCTGGAAAACCTATTATGTTTCAACATCTATTATTCAGAGCTGTCATTGAATGATATAGGTAAAAACATTCAAAATTTTTTTTATTTTGATTCAAATTGTACCTTTCACCGTTTTATTTTATTAGAAAAAAATTTTGCATATAAATGTTTCTATCATAATTTTAAATTTGTATTTAGATGTCATTATTATCATTATAACTATGCAGGAATTATGAAAGTTACCCTGATTCGAAAGTAGTGCCATATCAATCCTTCAAATTTTCTGTCACCTTTCTAGACGCTTATAGAAAATTTTAGACAACCCATATCAAATAAAATATTATGTTTCTATAAATAGTTATTCGTAAATATAATTCTCAAGTGTGATCTCTCTCTCTTTTTTTTAAATCTCATTTTCCCACTTAAAGTTGTGTCCAAAACATAAAAAAAAAACTATTTTCGATTCTTAACTTTGTTTGACTGACGTTCGTCTTCATTAGAGTTAAAAACTTTTACTTATTTTTAAAAAAATATGAAAATGTTTTTTTTACAAACACCTTTACAAGTAATCACAATATGATGTGATTAATAAATCAATTATTTTTTTTATAATTTTTTTAT